TTCACAGTCAGGGAGCCACGTCTCACTGCATCACCCGCTCCCGATTACACAATCACACACACGTCCGGATCTTCTTTCCGCGACGGCTGCTATACTCCAACAGTAGTCGGCTGACTGGAGGACTGTTGATAACACACTCGCTTGTAGGCTTGCTCGGAACTATCTTCGGCGATGGCCAGGTTACAACTCGGCTCAGCGACTNGTATCACTGTATCACACGCTCCCAATTACACAATCACACACACGTCCGGATCTTCTTTCCGCGACGGCTGCTGTACTCCAACTATAGTCGGCTGACTGGAGAACTGTTGATAACACACTCGCTCGTCAACTACTTAACTCAGCGATGTCCACATTATAACTGACTGGTAGCTGCTGTGCAGTTCCCTTATATATCCACAGTGGTGCCTGTTGCCACGTCACAGTAGGAAGCAGTGACGCGTCACCGTGTTTGCGTATATCCTAGCAACGCTGTCCGGAGTTGTTGACTGCTGCCTAGCAACCGCGATATCCCTTGGTGACGTCACCACGGAGGGGAGTGGCGGGGCGGGAACTCGCCTATTACCATAGTAACGTGAGCGCTACGTTACCGCCACGTACCGCTGGGGAGGTAGGGGTGATCCATAGCTCAACATGTCACAATACATATTACAGAATGAGATGTAGTGGACAACATTTAAATAATTACACGAAGCTATAAGCAGAACTTAAGTGGCTCTAAAAATCCCACATTTATTCCACAAGCCGGCAGTCTACACTGGATAACCAACGAGCATAAGTGTCTGACCTGAGACCCACACTCCAGATGCTGCCTGCTATTGAGGGAAGTCCAGGCAGCAGCTGTGCACAGCCCTGGCGAGAGGAACACAATCCAGCAACTAACTGCAGGGCAGCAGAACGAACAACTGGATCACGACTTGACCATAATGGAGGTAACCAGGACAAGTTTGGGTGCCCCGCTGCGTGACTCTCTGCACCTAGAGAGCACAGCCATACTGCCTCCCAGCCCTGTAACAGGATTCACACAACTCTGACTTGTGAGCTGTTCCAGTGCTTCAGCACACAATGGGGTTGCCTTCTTCAGGACAGCAAACACAACTATTGTTTGTGTGTAATACATTTAAGAGGGCATTCTAAACAGTGTAGAAGAGAAGTGTGTGGAGATCTCCAGTACAATTCTGGTTCCCATCATGTTTTCAAAATTTTTCGCATGGGGGGGGGAGTCCAGTTGGGTCCACTCGGCACAGCGGCCATTAATTGGCCTATTGTACCTGCCCTGGGTGATTATGATGAAGGAGAATTTGGTGGAATGAAGATTTGCAGGGGAAACCGAAGTCCTCAGAGAAAACCCGCCCCAGCTCCGCTTTGTCCACCACAAATCCCACTTGACCAGACACGGGATCGAACCCGGGCCGCCGTGGTAGGAAGCCAGAGACTAACTGTTGAGCTATGGCGCAGCCTTTCATGTTTTCAAAACAGAATCTAGTAACATTTTTATGATATTATGATCTTCAACAGCTTTGTTGATCACTAAAACCTATGATTCTTCTCCACATTCATCACCTGTACATACAGTGAGTCTGTGTATATGCTTCAATTATAAAAAGTGCAACTGCGCACTTGTGTCCTACATGCAATCTAAACTAGGCTCCAGCTATGTTTTGTTCTCAACAAATGTTTTCCACTTTATATTACTGAGTGGGCCATGCCTTAGCTCAGGCATTTACTCCCTGGCTTCCCACCGCAGCTGCCTCTGTTCAAGCCTGGGTCTGGTCATGTGGGATTTGTGGTGGACAAAGGGACGCTGGGGCATGTTTTATCCGAGTACTTCATTTTCCCCTGCCAATTGTCATTCCACTAAGTTCTCCAAAATCAACATCATCTATCAACTTTGGCTGGTACAACTGGCCGATAGTGGCCACAGTACAAAGTGGACTCAGTCTCACCCCCAATAAGAATAATAAAAAAAATATTACTGAGCAGGCTGTCTAGTGGTGACACTCTAGACTTGTATTCAGAGATATTCAGTTACTTTCAGCTAGGACATCAGCTACAGTTTTTGAGGTTCTTCATGGATTTCCTCAGTCCCTCCAGGCAAATTAGGATATTACCTTAAATGGGCCACAGCCACTTCCTTCCAAGCCTTTCCAATTCATCAGTCACCCTACCATTCAATACTGAGCAGTCTAGATACCAGAAGTGTCACAAAATATCCCACAAACCCAACCCATCATCCTCATACTGTGGCCTTCTGGGCCATGACATGATGTAGTCTGGAAGATGGACACTAATGTTTCACAAAAACGTTCTTCCTCCAACATTAAGGAAGTCAAAGAGTTGTTACTGACCTATCAGATGTCACAATCCATACCTTGGTGGTCGTGCTAAGCTGCATGTCGCACAGCAGATGGTTCATACACAGAATCGCACTGCGCGTGATGCTGAGACCCATGAATGAGGCTTGGCTGTCCCCTCCTTTACAACAGTGAAATGCAGTCACTAGTTCTGTCAGACATGAGATGAGTTCACCCCAAAGTTGACGAGTGCTGCCACCTGCATGATCGCCCCAATTTGGTACACTTGTAAGCTGTGCCAAGCATGACAACATCCAGTCCAGGTAGGCTGTCATGTGAAATGAATATATAATTATGCACACTGGTAAATTATAGTGAAATTTATATGCAAGACAACATTACTATCTACTGTGACGTGATGCCATGCGGTCTGGTAGATAGCTACAAAATTACCCTTATACCCTCAACATGCAGACAGCTGGTTCCTCTAGAATGTTGCTACTTTTACACAGCATCACATCACAGAAACAGTAATATTCATAGTTGCTGCTGTGAGAACCAGTGTCCCCCATGATTCTTACAATAAACAGCGATTATTTCCCTAAACAGCATTAACCGGTTGGGCTTTGTAGTGGAGACATAATGTGTTTCCTGTGAGGTACGAACTGAACTCTGCATTCTACCCACACAGTGTATTTGTGTGTTCTGTATGGATCTCACAGTAAACAGCGACTGTTTCCCTAAATAGCATTAACCGGTTGGGCTTCATAGCGAAGACATAATGTGTTTCCTGTGAGGTATGAACTGAACTCTGCATTCTGCCCCACACAGTGTATTTATGTGTTCTGTATGGTTCTCACGGTAAACAGCGATTATTTCCTGTGCAACAGGAACTGAATTTTCACACATTGCTTATATGAACTTGAGGCTCCAGTTAACCAAAGTCATCCTCATATCAATGTTATATGCTCAAAATATATTTTAACTATGATCAGGTTAAGTCCTGGAAATGCTTGCTAGCAATTAGTTCACAACATTTTGTCTTCCTGTCTCCTATCTTGAAACATAAAGATCAAACAAACAAAACTAGTAACTGACCTCCTGTTGGTAACCTAAGTGAGAATAAGGACTCAGGGAATCTGAGGGGAAATGGTGAGGAAAATGAGTTTTGATGAAACTGTAGATTGCTAGTACTAGCAGCCCAACAATTTGGTTACTTTTCTGTGGCACATTCTTGTTAAAATAAACTTTTCTCTGCAGGCTACCATTCATATTATATAGTACATATAAAACTGCACAAAGAACTGCTCTGCAATTCCAATTTACATTTTAACGAAAACCAACTTAATGTTGTTTGACAGATTTAATGATTATCAGAGCATTATTGTATTCAGAAGTACCTGAAAAGGGCATAACAGACAGGTAAAAACTTAATGTTGTATTTTAGCGTCCTGTTGCACTGATTTTCATCCATGATATGTATACAGTGGCCATCTTGTAGTGCACTCAATTTCACCTGTTACTTCACGACATGTTTCGGCAACATAGTGCCATCATCAGGTGCCCTAATTACGCTAATCTATTGCATTGCTTGCCTTTATATGTCTTTATAAAATTATTTAAAAAGTATTTAAAAAGTGCATATTTGTCAACTATAATAAATTTACACACACTAAAACTTNTTATTATAGTTGACAAATACGCACTTTTTAAATAATTTTATGAAGATATATAAAGGCAAGCAATGCAATATATTAGCGTAATTAGGGCACCTGATGATGGCACTATGTTGCTGAAACATGTCGTGAAGTAACAGGTGAAATTGAGTGCACTACAAGACGGCCACTGTATACATATCATGTTGTTAATTGTTAATTTGTTAACTTGTTAATTTTAATGTATGTATGTATATGACAAAATTGAAAACTAAATGATGATGACACAACATTCTACTCTGTTGATGAATACCTATTGTCTAGAAAATAACTTACATATCTTTACATAGCCTTGTGTAGTCACTGTGTATTCTTGGTTTCTCTTGTGTGAGAACTCCACTGGGACTGTACATATGTTTTGTATTTATATGACATATTCCACATCCTACAGTCATTTTGACTAACTTTGGGTCCATGGAATGCAATCAATGTAATGTATGTATAGCCCTGTATAGGCCACACCCTAGCTCGGGGAGTTAGATGCTGCCTTCCCACCACAGCAGCCCAGGTTTGAGGACAGTCTGGTCATGTGAGATTTATGGTGGACATTGTGGCACTGGGGCAGGTTTTATCCGAGTACTTTGGTTTCCCTGCCAATCTTCATTCCACCAATTGCTCCATGTTCCCCATCATCTATCATCTGTGGCTGGTATAACAGACCAGTAGTGGCCACAGTACCAAGTGGACTCAGTCTCACCCCACTAAGAATAATAATACATAGGCGAGCCAAATGAAAACCTTAAATATTTTTTTGAGTATTATTTATTGTGCAGAAGTGGTACAAAGCTGTATCACTTTTCAACATAATCTCCCCCACCCTCAATGCAAGTCCTCCAGCGCTTACAAAGTGCATGAATTCCTTTAGAAAAAAATTCTTTTGGTAGTCCGCGCAACCACTCATGCACCACATGGCTACCTCATCATCAGAATGGAACATCTTTCCTCCCATTGCTTCTTTGAGTGGTCAAAACATATGGAAATCACTTGGGGCAAGGTCTGGTGAGTATGCAGGATGAGGAAGACACTCAAAATGCAGGTCATTGATTGTCACAACTGTTGTATGGGGCTTTGCATTGTAATGTTGCAAAAGGATACCAGCAATCCACGTCGCTTTGATTTGAATGCAGGCCGAAGATGCTTTTTAGGGGATCTGAGTATGATGCACTGGTGACAGTGGTCCCTCTAGGTGTGTAGTGCTCCAAGATGATGCCTTTTTCATCCCAAAAGAGTCAGCATAACCTTCGCTGCTGATGGTTGTGTTCAAAACCTCTGCGGTTTTGGAGATGAGGAATGGCGCCATTCCTTGCTCGCTCTCTTTGTTTCCAGTTGGTGGAAGTGAACCCAGGTTTCGTCCCCAGTAATGATTCTTGCAAGGAAGTCATCACCTTCTCGTTCAAAGTGCCACAGAAGTTCTTCACAAGCATCAATATGTCGGTCTTTCAATTCACGAGTCAGTTGCCATGACACCCATCTTGCAGACACTTTATGAAACTCGAGCACATCATGCATAATGTGGTGTGCTGAACCATGACTAATGTTTAAACTTGCTGCAGTTTCATTCAATGTCGCTTGGCGGTTTTCCCTCACTATGGCTTCAACTGCTGCAGTGTTCTCTGGAGTCACAACTCGATGTGCCTGACCCGGACGAGGAGCATCTTCCACTGAAGTCACACCATTTGCACACTTCCTACTCCATTCGTACACTTGCTGCTATGACAAACATGCATCACCATACTGAAACTTCATTCTTTGATAAATTCCAATAGGTTTCACACCTTCACTACACAAAAACCGAATAACAGAACGCTGTTCTTCCCTGGTGCAAGTCTCAAGTGGGGCAGCCATCTTATACTAGTGCTGTGACGGTGTTCGTGCACTGCACTATGCTGCAACCTACAGGCCATTCTGCACACTGTTTGTAGCACGCTTACCAACTTACAGGATAATGGCGTGAACTTTCGATTTTTTTATTACAAATTTAAGGTTTTCATTTGACTCACCCTCATATAATAATAATAATCGCTTCATATAAAATGGAAAGGATGCTGGTAGACAAAGTCTAAGAGATGGAAGAAAGACAAAGAGAAAAATAAGAATAGCTATGTACCTAGGTTATAAAAATGTTGTGTGTCACTCAAGGTAAGATTCTCTGTAACCACACGGATTATATGGATCCAAGATAATGACAGACTGTTTGCATTTCCTTCAGGGGTCTTCTTCACCCCTGCTCTTCCAAAATCCTCTAACTTCCTCTCACGTGCTGAGCATTCCTGGACCAACTGCAGTATTTCTCGACACAGCTCTTTCAATACCACACTGTGACTGTCTGATCCAGCAGGTACATCGGCTAATCTCACCAGCAGGTTTGGCAATGGTTGGATTGCATCCTTGAGAATATTTGTAACCCAGCAGCTTTGGTGTTTCAGTTCTCCTGCACCTGTGAGTTATGCCATTAGCAGTGTTACAGTATTTTCAAACGGAAAATTTAAAATACTTCAGAGCAACAAACCAAAATCACATTAACAGAGGAGTTAGGAGGATATCAAATGCAAGCAATACTTGTTACAACTCAGGTCAAAATCTTTTGTTTTCCCACCTCCTAAATAAATATATGTAGATATACAAGTAAATTTCACCTGGTATTTTGTCCAAGCGTGAACATGGATTTGGTACATCTCAGAACAAAGTTTTGTGAGCATCCAGAACTTATAAAGAGTGGACACAATAATTTGAACTCACCTCCTTCCGAGCTCCAGCACACATTCAGGTACAGTCGCAACAACTTCAGTATAGAAACAAGCAACTGCTCATCTTCTGCGCAGCCTGGAGGTATTCCTAAGAACCTTTTAAAAGTCTCAGCCCATGGCAAATCATGCCACCAACCAGATGATTCGAGCTGAGATGTACCAAAGAAGTTTGATGTTGATTTCAATTGGCAATTCCCTCTTCCACTGATCAATACATGAAATGCAAGGTACCTGATAAATGCAGAACAGAAATTATGGAACCTGCTATAATTGTGAATGTGTTTATATATTGTCATATGTCTTGGATAGCAAGACAAAGCAGAAGCAGATAAACACAGCCACATACCAAGTCATCCTCTGTTTTACTTTGGTACATAAAATTATATTTGTTCCCGTAAGATTTGAGGTTTTCACAGCGGTGACTAAGAAGAACACGGTTCACACAATATCTACACAGTGCCACATCCCATGAGATGAGATTCTTTATATTTGTTCCCATTTACATTAAATAAGTGGACCTGGTGATCACAAGATAAGACATTACACTGTCATTCAGAGGGTCCTGAGTTCCACCACAATGAGCTTCTGCTCATAGAATGAAACCTTCATCTACACCAAGGACAGAAATTTGGTGATAGGAATAATTTTAGGCCCCTCTCTCTTGTTCTATGGGTCCCCCCTTCTGACCATCACTCTCATGATCAACCAATCATGACACAAGTCTCTCACAAATTTAAAATTAGGGTACAACCACTTTCTTCCGTATCCTTCCCAATTCATTATTCACCAATCATCCTATCATTTGTTGCTGTGTACTTCGAGCTGCTGAAAACATTGTTTAATAAAAAATAAATATATTGTATTGGAATAGACACTTCCATGATAATTCTAACAGTGAGTCTCCAAGGTTACAACGAACTGTTATAAGTATTACATAACAACGGGAAATAATGCATTTCCTAAGAAAAGGGTTGTTGAACCAGCGGAAATAATACACTTCCGTGGTAACGAGCATAGGACACATGAAACTGGATGGTTGAAGATGGTGTTCTCTAAGCAGTTCAAAAAACCCCTGTATAATGGGTTGAAGGCATTCACCAAGAGTTGAGACACAGCCACGGGCACAGACAGTTGGAAGACAGCTGCCGCAGAATGCAGTTGAAGTGATACTAATTGTACTTGAGTGTATAAGAGTGAGTGTTCAATAAATATCTGCTAAATCCAAGACCCACATGAAGTTATTTGTCACGCTGCATAGACAACATATGACAATATATATATATATATATATATAAGATAAACATTAGAGAGAGGATGCACAACAAATCAAAGACAGTCACAGTGAGAGTCATTTTTAACATTCCCCTCCAACTTAAAATCTCTTAGAGAACTGAAGCACCCAGCACAACTAACCCAGATATAGAAGCAAGAGATTTCTCTACTGCTTGATGTGTGGTAGCATTCTGAATATCATACAGGTACTGCTTGCATCTGTGATCCAAAGCTGCTGCCTTCAAGCACCTCAAGTCTGAAGCCAACAGCCTAAGCTCCTGAGCAAACCCAGAGAGCATCTTGTCACTAGATGGCACTTCAGACCAACTAAGGACCACCTCCAAGCCACCAAACCACTCCATGTTCCAACAGAGTCGAAGCAATGCATGACAGTCTTCTTGCTTCAGCAGGTCTCCTGAAACAGTAACAAAAGCAATGAGTTCTGAGAAGAACTCAAGAATTTACTTTCCTATTGCACAGATTTCTGGGGCACATGGTAGCATACTTGGTTGAGGCACTATGCTACAAGCTGGAAGGTCTTGGGTTCAAGCCCCGATGAGGTCATTGGATTTTTTTCAATTGACCTAATCTTTCCAGCCACACTATGGCCCTGGGGTTCACTCAGCCTCTAAGAAATGAGTACTAGGAATATTCTTGGAATATTCTTGGGGGTAAAGGGCGGCCAGCGCGGAAGGCTGACAAACTTGCCGCCATCTGCGAGCCGACTGTCTAGAAAATGTGGGAACTGCAACATCTCACAACCCTATGGGCCTCCACGACCTGTTACAGAGATAGCTTTACTAACTTTACTTTTTATTACACAGATTTCTAGTCCTACAGACCTGTTAATACTGTTTATTAAATCTAAATGATTGCAAGCAAGGCATTATTAAAATGATAAGTGTTGCACATTTTCAACCCTTGTCCCAATTTTGGTTACAAACAAGATGGTACAACATACGTGTTTGTGTCAATTTATTCTTCTTTTATTTACATCCATAACTGTAAAATATACAATCTGATAAAATCAAAGAAAATATATAGATTTAATAACAATCACACCTAACATAATCAAAGAATACATAAATTTATCATTATTACTCTCATTTTGCCTCAGTAAAGAACTCATTCATAACTACAAATTCTACGTAAATTAGCTATACATAATCTCAGAGTCTGTGCCATCATCTTGTTTGTATTTGTTGATTACACAATTTTAATATTATCATTCCACCTATATCTGTGTTCCAAGTGGTCCATACCCGCCATTATTCCATCAAAAAGCCTGATGTTTACAGACGAAATCACTAGAAGAACAGCCCATACAATGTATAGCTTTAACAAATGCTCACAGGGCCAGAGGAGCATACAATAATGTATGCTCACAGAGATTATGAACACTAACTCCACAGAGTGAAGTCCTCTATGAGAAGCCAACAGTCACTAAGCTACTCAAATTCCCAGAATTTTATGGACCCTGAAGGTTCATTAGTATGCTCACGACAGTTCACCACTGGTCCCTATCCTCAGCCATCCATTCTATTTCTTTAAGATCCAATTTAATATTACCTTCCCATATATGCCCAGATGTACTTAGGGGCCCATTTCCTTCAAAACTTTGTAATGTGCTACATGCAATGCCCACCTCATATCTCATTCTCTTGATTTGTTAGTCTGAAAGATTATGAATATGCCCACAAAATCTGTAAGTAACATTTATGTGCGCATAGCAGTACCAACATACAAACAACTAAATCCCTTGACATTGACCACGCCATTGCTCAGTTAGCTGCTGGCTTCCCACTGTGGTGGCCCAAGTTCAATCCCGGGTTTTCCCTTGCCAATCTTCATTCCACCAAATTCTCCATCATCATAATGACCCACGGCAGGCTACAATAGGCCAAGCAGCGGCCACCGTGCGAGTGGACCCAGTTTGACTCCAACCCCCACTGAGGAAAAAATCCTTTCGCATTTAAAACTTAAGTGGAAGCAACTTCCAAGTCAGGACTTGACCATTATACTTACTTCTTACTGAGGTCTGCGTGTGCGGGCTACTATGCCAATGTGTGTGGCAGAGAAATGGAAGTCTCATGTGCTGAGCTACCAGCTCAGGAAGGGAGAAGCGATGCCATGGGGAGCTACTGCCAATCGGCTCAGGCTCTGACAATATGAAATCACTGTACAGAAGCAGACATAGAAGCACTGAAGAATCCGGCCGTAACCTGTCATCTCCACTGTACAGGTACATGGCTAAAAACACAATACAAAATAACATAAACACAGTCCCCCCTTGCTTGTACCAGTTCTAATAGTATGAAAACAACAGATACTATACTGGATTGGTGTTCTAACTGCAGTGACTATGAGTAATAGGGCCTTCTGGGTTGTATAACTGAGCAGTTTGGAGACAGCCCAACATTTTGAAGACCTCCGCATTCCGGGTCAAAGAGTAAGCCAAGCAAGAAAGCAGCAAATGCAGGGAGCAGGCTGAGTTTACTCTTTCAGCCTGAATAGGGAACCACTATGTTCCTCCAAAACACTAGACTGTCTCCAAAATACATGCTGTTACAACCCACAGGATCGTAACCTTTGTATACAAATACAGTAAAAAATAACAGCAAAAATAAAAAGTTCTGCCATTTATTGTCCCTACATGTGAACTACTAGAAAGGACATCAAAGAATATAAAGTGCAAACTAATAACCCTCGGCACACAATTATAACATGAAGATA